GGATTTATTTATTTATTTAATTTTCTGGTTATTTTTTATTCACCCTCACCTTGGGTATATATATATATATATATATATATATATATATATATTGACTTCAGAGAGGAAGGGAGAGGGAGAGAGAGATTGAAATATCAATGATGAGAGAGGATCATTAACCAGCTGCCTCCTGCAGGCCCCCCACTGGGGGTGTGGGAGGATTGAGCCTGCAATCCCGGGTTGTGCCCTGACTGGGAATCGAACTGTGACCACCTAGTTCTGGTTCATAGGTCGATGGTCAACCACTGAGCTACACTGGCTAGGCTGGGGATACTTTTTCCATTGATTATTTTAGAGACAGTAGAAGAGAGGGAGATAGAAAGAAAGAAAAAAGAAGAAGCAGGAGAGAGAGAGAGAGAGAGAGAGAGAGAGAGAAAGAGAAACATTGAAGTGAGAGAGACACATCAATTGGTTGCCTCCTGCAGGCACCCCAATCTGGCCAGGGATCCAACCTGCAACCCAGGTACATGCCCTTGACCTGGAATGGAACCGGCAACCCTTCAGTGTGGGCCCATGCTCTAACCACTGAGAAAACGGGCCAGGGCTTTATCGAGCTGGAAGGGAGTGTAGAAATCGCCTAACAAGCCCTTCAGGAGAACCGAGGCAAGGAGTGGGCTGAGGGCCACAGCAGGCTGGAACCTGGCATTCAATAAACAGACCATGAGGGCCAGTTCCATGGTGAACTGGACAAGACTCAGACTCGGACGTGGCTTTCACCGAGGAAGAGGCAGCTGGCACCTGAGCAGAGGACGCTGCCGGGTGTGCATTTGCTGGAGTATTGGTGTCACAAGAGACTGGGCTGGAGGAGTCCTCACCATTTCAGTTGTTGTATTCCTCGCCCCAAAAGTGCCACCTACTTAATCATCGTCAAGAAAGGTCTGATTCATTTAGCAAAACTATGGAAAGAACAAGCAGTGCCTCCACACAGAGGAGTTTCCATTTTCTCAGGCTTTACCAACACTCGCCTGAGCCAAATTTCCACGTTTTTTTTTTTGACGTCGATCCACCCTCGGGCACAGGGCTCACTGCTTACCTCCCTCGGAGCTGCTGGCAGGATTGGCGGGCGCTGACGGTGGCCGCCCCGAGCCCCCCGAAGGCGATGCTCAGGTCCTCGATGGTGTCGGTGCCCTCCTTGAGGAGGACCCGCATGCCCGCGTTCACGTGGGCCCAGGCGTTGTGCTGGCACTGCGCCTGTCGGAAGGCCGACACCAACTCCCCCTGCGGAGGCAAATGCTGTCGGGAGCTGCTCCATGTGTCAACCTCAGAGCACGGTTTCTGCTTCTTGGCGCCACTGATTAATCTCTTGGACCCAACGGAAAGGGACACCAAGGACACTTGGCACCATTTGAGGGCAACTTGGCTGCCTTCTCGTTCAAACTGAGGAGTGTCCTGCGCAAGGCCCCCCCCCCCCCCCGCCTGGTCCCCTCCAGGAACGGGGTCACTGCACCCTTTTCCTCTGAGGCCGGGACAGAACGGCTGGCTCCTTTCCATGTGTCATCTTTCCAGGTGCCCTGCCCCCGAGTCTTCAGGCCCCGTGTCCCCTGCGAGGATGGAGGACCCTCCTAACACCAGTGCTTTTCTTTTCTTTTAATATATATGTATTTATATATGTATATACATACACACATATTTTACTTTTTATTGATTTCAGAGAGGAAGGGAGAGGGAAAGAGACAGAAACACCAATGATGAGAGAGAATCATGGATCGGCCGCCTCCTGTATGCTCCCAACTGGGGACAGAGCCCGCAACCCAGACATGGGCCCTGACTGGGAATGGAACCACGACCTCCTGGTTCATAGATCAAAGCTCAACCACTGAGCCATGTGGGTCGGGCTCAACACCAGTACTTTTCGATATGATCTGCCCAACATGCAAAAGAGCTCGCTCGAATTTCTTGGTTTGCAGAAACCATCACCTTCCATTGCACAGGGCTCATATGAGAGTCGAAATGAACTTTCCCACGGTGGGCTAGGGAACCCTGTGTCAGGGGCAAGTCAGGAGGGTGATTCTGCCCGCTGACCTCTCGGCACCGGGACCCTGGTGCGCTGACGTGGGGGCACTGGAGATGGCCTGAGTCCCCAGTGTGTTTCCAGCTCTGTGGCCCCGAGGGTGCGGTGTTGATCTGCGAGGTTTTCTCCCTGGGGCCTTTACACAGAGGCACATTTGACTGGGAACACATTTCAGAGTTCATTCCACAGGAAACATAAATGGAGGTCATGCATGGCTGACAGCGTGCCTTACTCTAAGACTTCCTGCACAACCCAGCAGACACCTGGCTTCTGATCAGTGAGTGTGAGTGAGTGTGAGTGAGTGTGTGTGTATGTGTGTGTGTGTGTGTGTGTGTGTGTGAGTGTGTGTGTGTGTGGTTTTGCCTCTCTCTGGGAAGCCTGTCCTCTGGGATTCAGACACAGTTGTGGGGAGAGGCACAGGGGACAGAGAGTGAGGACAGAGGCCCCGCCATAGCTGGGGGGTGGCCGCATCAACCCCAGGGTGCTGTGCTGGCAGGTGTCTGGAGGCCTCACCTTCTGTGAACTGTGGGGTTGGCTGGAGCGGGAGTTGGAGGCCCGCCCAGCCTCCATGTCCCTGTGGGTCCGACAGAGAAGCTCATTCCCAGCCGGGGAGGTTCCCCTCCCGGAGTCGGTCAGAGAGCAGGAGGAAGCAGGACGGACCGCAGGCCTCAGCAGCCGCACCCACAGCTGAAACAACACCCTACACCCACCCCGGGCTGCCTGCCGAGAGGGCTGAGGCCTGGAGCTGCCGTCTAGGGAACAGGAAGTCATGACTCTGGCAGACATCCTCTCTCCTCTGCTTCAGAGTAAAGACGCTGGGTGCCGAAGAGCGAGAAGCAGCTCCCAGGAGCGGCCAGGCGCGTCTTACCTTTTGAGAGTGAGGGATGTGCACAGATTCCAGAACCTCCTCGGGCCTGAGGTCTGCACTCGCCAACCCGGCAAGAAAGTGCTCGCTTAGCGGAACCTGCCGGGCGCCTCCTGCTGAAGAAGATGACGTTTCTGCACAGGCAACAGGGAGCGCAAGGCATTCTGTGCGCTTCACTGTCAGTGCCAAAGAGGGGGTCACCTCGCTCAGCACCAGGTGACGAGGGGCAGAGCGTGTGACAGTCAGGACTCTCCTGTGCCTCCAACGGGGAGGGAGGACGGGGTGGTGGTGGCAGCTTCAGGACATTTACCCATCGCAGCCCGGTCTCCTCCCGGCCGGGCCTGTGCGGGTTTTCACTGTCCAGCAGAGGCCGGTGAACTCTCTGTGATCAAGGGAAGGGCGCAACCTATGCTGGGACAGGGTTTGTTCGCACAGTGAACAGAGCTCAAACCCCTGGCTCTGCCTGTTGTTCTTGCTGCTGCTCTGGGCTCCTAAGCCGGATACCTACGCTTTTAATGCACAAAACCTCCTTTCAGCCCCATTGCTATCACTGAACGGTCCCAGTCCCCTCTGGCTTTAAAAGGGGGTTTGTGGAGCCACAGGAGGCACATGGAGGAGATCACCCTACAGCCTAGAGACCCTGATGGGGTCGTGTTCCTGGCACAAGCAGCACCATGCCAGCTGGAACAGGTGTGGGGAGGAGGCAGGAGCACCCAGGATCCCCGCGGAGCTCTGGCCCTCTGCAGGCTGGTCAGCGAGCCCACGGCCTGGCTTCTGGAGCTGGGCTGTGCTCCAGGGCTGCTGCTTCGCAGAGCTGGGAGGACAGAGACCTGAAGCTGGGGTAATGACCAAGCAACAGTCCAGGAGAAGTTACCCTTCCACTCCTGCGGCTGGTGCAGGAGGCCGGCTGCTGCGGGCCCAGCTGTCCTTTCTATCCTGACGCCCCGGAGTCTTGTCTCTTCTCTCCTGGTCTTTGGGGGTCAACTGGGGTCGTCCTGGACCACAGGCCGGAGGACTCAGCCAAAGGGCCGAGGGCTGTCGGGGGTGAAGCCCCTCCATGGGCCCCATGCAAAGCTGATGGGGACCGGAGAGCTGTTCCCCTGCCCCCAAGGCTCTCCCTACACTCTGGGTTCCCACCGACCAGGGATGGGGCCTGGGATAGAACTCCTGGTCGGACACACCCCTGAAGTTCACATGGGGCAGCTGTGACTGCTCCCCCTGACCCCCAGCGCTTGGGCCCGTGTCAGCCCACGGAGGGGTAAATAATGGATGGGCTGAGCGGGGTGGACAGCCAGAGTGGGGATGTGATGGGCTGTGCGTGAAGGAGGGGAGAAGGGATGGGAGGGGGACATAGAGGCCCTGGGGAGCCGGCTGAGGGAGAAGAGGCGAGTGCACCCATTTGGCAATCAGACAGGCTGGGTTCCAGGGCGGGTGTCTGTGCATGTGGGGTAGGGCCTTCCTGCAGGCGCCTGTGCTTCCTGTGCTGCACTGAGAGCCAGCACACGGGCTCTGACTTAAAGAGGAGCCTTTACAAAAGGACAGAGAATCCTTAGGTTCTGTGGGGAGTGCTCTGGGAAGCTCACCTGCGGATCTCAGATTGAGGGTAGCGCTGCCCACAGCCAGGATTGGGTTCAGATCTGAATAGCAGTGCCGACTGATGATATGTCCCCCTAAGGACTGAGGAGAGAGAGTTACAGCCTGGGCCAGTCCACCCTCACGCCCTCTGCCCGCAGGCACCTTCTTATGCGAAAGGGCCCGGGGCGGGGGGGGGGGGGTTCCGTTCACACTGCCTGGGAGGACATTCGGCCCGGAGAGGAATGGATGGTAACCCACATTCCCGGAGCTTTTGGTGTGGCCATCTGCTGTCCTCCTTTCCACACACATCTACTCATCCTCACAACAGTCCAGTGAGATGGATGTCGTTCCTACAGATCCATTCTACAGATGAAGACACTGGGCACAGAGAACTTGTGACGTCTGACCGAGGTCTCCCAGCTCGAAGGGGCCGGAGTGGAACTCAGACCCCAGCAGCGAGGCTCAGTGGCCAGTTCTGAACCACCCCCCCTCCCCCACCCAACCCAGCCGTGGCCACCTTGCAGAATTCACGTGAGCATGCCCGGGTGCGGGGCACCCATACCACCGAGAGTGGGTGCCTTTCCCCCCTTTTGGAAGACTCCACGCAGACTGGGTTGAGCCTGTAGCGTCTCAGAACTTGGGAGGGCACTGACTGGCCATTCAACTCAGGACCCTCCACCCCTCCTAGTGACGGAGTCCACAGTGACCACCCGCGTGGCTGAGGTTTGGGCGGTAACGCTGGTGAGGGCAGGGAACCCCAGTTCCTCTGTGGACAGCTTGATTTTCAAGTTTTCGCTTCCACTGAGTTGAAATCGGCCTCCTGTCGGTCACACTTCTATCCTCTTGATCATAGGAAGTGGATCCATCGCCCTCTGGAGCCCATACATATTTGAAAGCAGCTCTGATGGTCCCTCTGACGGTCCCACCCCCACCATCCTCTTCCTGATGCGATGGTCAGCCCCTCTCTCTCCTGCACCATCTCCTCGCCAGGCTCCAGAGCGTCAGGGTTCTTGACTGGGATTTTGAAATCACTTGAAGAGCTTTTTCAAAGGAAACAGGTGCTCCTTCCCCAATTCTCTATGCCCTGAGGGTTTCTGACACACCATTGGGGTATGTAGGAGAGGGAGCATGCATTGCTTTCTCCTGAGGTCATAAAGAACCTGACCTTAAACTGTGTTTCCCAGGTCTGAGCTCCAGCTGTGGTCGAACAATCTGGAGCAGAGCAGGCCGTCCTCCTTATTTTAGGCACCATCCTTCCGTTAATGCAGCCTTAGGCGAACCTGGGTTCTTTGACAGTCTTCTCATAAAATCAGCAAAACACAAAGTCCTTTTCCTACCCACCGTGCAACTAGGCTATTTGACTCAACCTGACTTAGAACAATCCTTTACATGTTATTAAGGAATGTTTGTTAACTGTCCTATATCTGTTCATCGTGCCTGTCATTTCGCCTGCTGAGACCCTTCTGCAGACAGGTTCTGCCAACGCCGATTTCAGCATTTCAGTGGGATTGAGCAGAGGTGCCCTGTGCCCGATGGCGGGGCCGGAGGACTTACCGCCATGTTCCGGATCTGCTGGCCCGCCAGGCTCTTCAGGTGCTTCAGGAGGGCTCGGTAGGTCTGCGTTTTCTCCTCTGGGAGCTCGGACACCCTCTCAGCCAAGATGTCCTTCACCTGGGCCAGGCTGCAGCCGGCGCCTATGGTGAGTCCTGGAAAGCAGGTTGTTTTCTTTCACAGGGGACCTGGGAGGAGCCGCTGAATGGTCAGCATGACACCAGGTCCTGAGTGCTCGTCTAGCACATGGCTCTCCATGCTTGCTGCACAGACAATCACCGGGAACTCGAAAACAGCACAGAGGCCCCTTCTAGAGCAACTTAATTAGGACCTCTGGGCCTGGGGCTATTTCAAAGGCTCTGAGGTACTTCTCCTGTGCACCAGGGTTAGGACATCTGAGCTGGTGTATATTCTTTTTTTTTTTTTAAATATATTTTTACTTATTTCAGAGAGGAAGGGAGGGAGAGAGAGAGAGAGAAACATGAATGATGAGAGAGAATCATTGATTGGCTGCCTCCTGCATGCCTCCTACTGGGGATCGAGCTGGCAACCAGGGCCTGTGCCCTTGACTGGAATAGAGCCCAGGACCCTTCAGTCTGCAGGTCGATGCTCTAGCCACTGAGCCAAACCAGCGAGGGCTGGTCTACATTCTTGTTTGAACAAATGCAAGGGACTAGAAGCTAGAGAAGGAATGACGGGAACATCTAGCAGGTAGCAGACCCTACTAGAGCTCTCCATGACCTACTCCTGAGTAACCACAGTGAAGCTATAGAAAGATGTTTTGTAATTAAGGGGGATACATCTGATGGCATTGCAGGGCCAGACAATCCACAGGGACTTTTTTTTTGGCCATTTCCATTGCTCACATCATCCCCTACTTTGTGCTAAGCAAGACACCACTATATGGAGAGAATTCTCTTTACTGTACTTATATTCATGTTGTATTCCATCTTTGGACACGAAACCTAGCTTGTATTTCAGTGGAGTTGAAGAGCTTTAACTTGGCTTGAGTCTTAGGGTGTGGGTTTTGTTTTAACTCATGCTTCTTGGAGTTCCTGCATCTATGGGATAAAGATGTGGTGACTTTCTGGAGCACTTACTGTGCTAAAGATTTTGAGGGGGAAAAGGTATAGTGAGCGAAACATGCACATGATATAGGGTGGCATGCAACATTGGAGCAAACATATGCCATCACAGGAATTTATTTTCTGGGGTGCTGGTGGGTGGGGGGGGCAGTGCACATGTGGCTCCAGACTACTCCTGCTCCCCACCCGTGTCCTTCACTCTTGGGCCTTAGGAAAAGGTTGAGAATCCTGGGAAACATCCCTGGAGGCCACCAGAGGGCACTCACACTTTAATTTTAAGAGGCCCCTAGGAAGGCGCGGGTTTGTTTCTCAGATTGCAGAATCTGGCTCTAATTTACGGACAGGATCCAAACTGAGTGGTCGGTCCGTTCCAATAGCCAACCGCACAGGCCTGGGGGTGGGCCTTGAGGGAGGAGAACGGCAGGAACAAAGGAGCTCTGATTTGGAAGCAGGAGACTGTGGCTTGGTCACCAGCCAGTTTAGAGACCTTGGTCAAGTGCACTTTCCTCATCTATCAAACGAGGGCCTGGAGTTACACTGAGGATTGCGAGTTGTGCCCTGAAGAGCCCCCTCAGGGGCAGGTATAAGGGGCTCGGTGATAGGAAGGATGCGGGAAAGCTTCCCCCTTTTCCAAACAGCAGCTTCTTTTCAGGTACTTATTCTAAGATCTGTTTGGGGTCAGGGTTGTGGTGCTAAAGAGCAGTTGGGAAAATGTGGGTGCCTGGGGTGAAGATTAGGGAAGGGCTTTCCATCTGAACCTTGTGCTTAAATTAGTTGTCTAAACTCCCAACCCACCCACTTTACTATTTTCTCTTCCTCCACTTTCTGTGAGAGCTAAAAAAAATGAATACTTTTCCTCCCATCTTCTAACTTTCCCTAGGCTGGGCTAATAATTAAATTAACAGATTAATAGGAGAAAATCAAGTTTTAATATAGGCATAGGGAGAATTCACATAGGCAAGAAATTCCAAAGATGGCGAGGCTCCATGGGGTAAATAAGACATGTGGACAGAGGAGAAAAGGAGGAGAATGAGGTGGTAGATTTCAGAAATGAGAATGGGCGATTTACAGGTGGTGA